CCCTCACCCTTCTCTCTCTTTTTCTCTCTCTCTCTCTCTCTCTCTCTCTCTCTCTCTCTTTCTCTCTCTCTCTTTAAACGATCTCTTTGTTTTTTCGAAATTTCACGGGTCAAAGATGAACTATTAATCAATTATAACAGGGCAAATATTAAACAAAATTCTGGTAGGGGGATAGTAAAGTGTTAATAGGGGATGCAGGAAGGATGAAATTCAAATGGAAAATTTCCAATAAGATGACTGTGCAAATCTAAGATAAATTGTTTGTCGGTCCGACGACGTAACAAAAAATAATCTCTCCCTGTCTCTATCTCTCCCTTTCTCATTTCTCTATCCATCTTTCTATCTATCTCTCTATCTCTTACTGCGGCATCGTTAAATCCGCATAACTAGCCGCGTGTTATGATGCATTCGCGTTTATACGAGAGAGAACTAATCTTTCTCGAGCTTGACGTCAATATATTCGCGGTGATGCGAAGATGGAGAAAGCCGACTATCCCCTTCCCTCTCCCCTCCCCTCCCTCCCTCCCTCTCTCTCTCTCTCTCTCTCTGTAATTTTTTTCTTTTACATTTCTTTTTTCTTCTCCTTTTTTTTTTGTTGCAATCAATCCGACTCACTCGCATCATCCCACCAACCATCTCTCTCTCTTTCTCTCTCTCTCTCTCTCTCTCTCTCTCTTTCTCTTCTCTCTCTCTTTCTCATACAAGCAAGGACTTGATGCATTACTCGAGCGATATTGCCAGTGACGTGCATTGTCCCATTGTCGAGACAGAACTACCCCTTTCTTCCATTTAACTATAACCACCCACCAACCCCATCCCCACCACATCAACCTACCTACCTACCTACCTACCTACCTATCTACCTACCTACCTACCTACCGTCCTGCATACCTGGCTACCTATCTACCTACTTATCTATCTAACAAACGAGCAAGTGACTCTAGACTTGGAACAGTTCTACGATCCACTGGATATGTTAAATAATATTGGAAATGGAAGTCTGGCTCGATGCCGGGAATCTTTCTTCCTTCTTTATTTCCTTCGTTCCTTCCTTCTATCTTTCTTTCCCTTTTTCCTTTATTTTTACTATCCTTTTTAAGAAGTAAAACTCGGATAACTCTTGGACCTGTCCTCGTTCTCTCATCTCTCTTTTATTCGAGATAAAAAAACGTTTACTCGTTCGAACGAATAATTCCATCGTAAGGAGATATTGTATATAACCAAACAATTTTATTAAAGCGAATGTTGCGAAATAAAAAAAAAGGAAAAGTAAAGAAGGAGAAAAAAATGAAATAACTTTTAATCCTCCACCCTCCCGAAAACGAAGTTCTCAATAACTCATTTTCTCTCTCTCTCTCTCTCTCTCTCTCTCTCTCTCTCATCTTCTTCTTATTTAATAAAAATGGGGAAATAAGTTTCGATCCGCGACAACGGAATATGACAAAAGATTCAATTTAAAATATCTACGTAACTTTTACTACGACACACTAACAACGTCGTGTTATTTTTACGTGACTAACCGTTCAGGCCGCTTGGTCCGCGGATAGGTCACGTTATCGCGTTCTTTGTAAAGTAAACACGCTCATGAAACATGAGTTGTGATAATTATGAGATCAAAAAAAAAAAAAAAAAAAGAAAAAAGAAGAAAGAATGAAAAGGAAAAAAAACAGAAAAGAAAAAAGAAAAACAGAAAAAAGAAAACAAAAAATAATTAATGAACTGAACAAGGTGTGATGTGTACCTAATATGCGTCGCATAAACGAAAAAAAAAAAAATATATATATATATACATATATGTATATATAATTATTATTATTAATTCAAAAGTGTCTCTTTATTCTTTAGCCCGCATATCAACTCGAATTTCTCAAAGGGTTAATATACCATATAGTGATAAATGATCATTGTAAGAATGTCCAATGGATCGTCAAGGATATGCATGCCAAATGTTCCAATATCGAACAATATAAACTGTTATTCTATATTTTAGAATCAGATGATCGATTGATACGATTTCTTTTTACGCGGCTTCATTTTTTATTTGTATCTTATTGTGTGAAATGATATTATACAATTGTCATAGAACGTAGCAATAAGAATATATGATTATTATAATATCTAATGATTTTTTTTTGGAAAAATTAGACAATCAAAAAAAGACAGATCAATTTTTATTTTCAAGAGTGGAAAGATAGGTGTGATTCTTTTCATATAATCACCCTGGATAGGTCCTTTTCATCCGTTTTGAGCTAATGAATCATTTTCTTTTTCTTTTTTTTTTCCAAGCTCCAAAAGAGGAAAGAATATAGAAAAACAAATATTATCCTCGCCGGATGAATGAATTATGATTATCATAGTAAAATGATGATTTAAATCGAATAAACCGGAGATCACTTTTTTACGATCTCACTTCACGTACACGTAGGAAGAAAGGTATATAAATCAATTCTTTTTTTTTTTCCTTTTTTTTCTTTTTCTGATTGAAAAAAGAAATAAAAATAAAAGAAGAACAAACAAGCATTATCACCAAATCGTGACCACCATATTTAGAACGTTTGAATGGCATGTGTTACTGTACCTTTGAAAAAAGGACAAAGTGAAAAAAAGAGAAAGAAAAAGAAAAAGAAAAAAAGAGAAGGTCACTTTTTAATTGCATTAGATACTTCTCATTAATTAATACTCTAATGAAAACTCTGAAATGGATTTTTTCGAAAGAGAGCGTTAACGTTTATTTATCTTTCCTCATTCAATAACTTACTTAACTGACGATATTATGAAACATTACGTGATCACGTTTCATTTCACATCAAATAATTACAACAGGCCGAATGGAGAGTAAGAGACGAGTAGGGGAGATGGTAAATGGGAGGTGGGAGGCAGGGGTAGTGAGGGTCACCGGTGGCCCCATACGCGACATTATTCCTGTTAATAAGTTTTTGTTGCAAATGTATGTACATACATATGTCCGACGGAAGCTTTTTGTCCTTGCACGAAGCGTCTCATTTTTACTTTTTTTTTCTTTCTTCTTTTTTTCTTCTTCTTTTTTTTTTCTTTTTTTTTTCTTTTTTTTTTTTTTTTTTTTTTTTTTTTTTTTTACTTTTTTTCTTCCTTTTTCTCTTCTTTTTTTCCCTTATTTTTTCAATGTTAATATCAATATTTGCATAGAAAACTGGGAAACGATATTGCGATTGCGTGCATATACATACCTCACCGCATATCCATTTACACATTTTTAATATTATCCTTACTTCGATTTCCTTTTCTCTTTCGATTCGTTTAAGATTCAGGATAAAGCTCAATACACACACACACACACACACACGCGCACACACACGCGCGCGCGCACGCATTGATCTTTATATTCAAGGTTTCAGAATAAATATATGATATTTTCTAATCGCTAGAGAAAAGAAAAAGATAATAATATTCGTTAACTTAATTTCCTTTTAGAAAAGTATTCATTTAACATTTATGAATTTCTCCGTCAAATAAAAGAAAAAGAAAAAAGAAAAGGAAAAACGTTCGTCCACACTCATTCGTCTTTTCTAATCGCGAGTACATCAACGTTTTTTTATTCCATTATTTATATATGTTTTACATCTTTTCTTTTTTTTTTTTCTTTTTTTTTTTTTTTAACGAAGAAATAAAGAAAGAAAAAAAGAAAAAAGAAAGAAAGAAAGACGTAACAAATTTGCAGCAAAAGAAAATCTTATTCCATTTAGCATTATGAAAATTTAATGCTCAAACGGTTAATGAGTATGTTAAAATACGCATGAAAGGGGATTAGAATGGAAATGAATGTATATGTACGTATGTGTATGTATATGTACGTATATATATATATATATATTTAAGTTACGAATAGAAACGCAAGAATAGGAGAATGGGAAGATGGACGTGAAAATTTTGGCATCGTTCACTTGTTACGAGTCATTACAAGAGACCATTCGACTAAATGTCTTACGTATGAGAACTTTCGACATGTGTTTTACCTGATTCTACGAATCGATTATCAACTACCTAAGCCTACTTAGGCCAATTTACACCTAGGGGCTTTCCTTCTTAATCGCACGACAATCGAAACACACTCGACGCTCGTGTGGTAAGCAATGAAAATTCAATCGTTTCCAATTAATTCCTCAATTAATAAACGACCTTGATAGATAAACTGAACTAAACTAAACTAAACTGTACTAAATTAAACTAAATTAATAAATTGAAATAAATTAAACGATCGATGGAAAAAAAAAAAAAAAAAAAAGTGAAACAATTTTAATTCTCATTCCTAAATGATCGTAAATCAAGGTTATTATTTTTTACCCAAAAAAATATATATATATATTTATCCTTTATCAATAATAATTGATTTTCAAGTATTCTTTACAATTGTATCATTGTTTTCCCTCTCTCTCTCTCTCTCTCTCTCTCTCTTTTTTTTTTATGTATTTTACAATTACAGTATCTATATATAATTAATTCCAAGAACGATCTTCGTAGTTCAAAGAAAAAAAATATTTGTTCCACCGACATACATATATATATATATATATATATATATATATATATATATACTTATATGCTCGTTCACGTGCCTTGCACGCAGAACGATTATCTTTAATTTGTTATTATTATTCGCGCGAATAACTATAGCGACGAGGAAAGAAAAAAAAAAGAAAGAAAAAAAAAAGAAAAAAAAAAAGAAAAAGAAAAAAAGAACTGACATCTTCGATGCTCGCTTGCCAAAAATTATTTCTTTACACGCTCGTAGAATGAGATAAGGAAAGGGATAATGAAAGACATAAATAAAATTTGATCGTAATAATAATAGTTAAAAAAAGCAAAAAAGAAACAAAAAGAGATCTGTCATGTCGTCATTAAACGGTCATTTACTAATCAATAATATTGCCAAAAAAAGGAAAAAAGAAAAAAAAGAAAAAAAGAAAAATAAATTATTCCCCAAAAGGATATTATATTCGTAATAAATATAAGATGAGACTTACCGTGAGTATCAAACTTTCTAATGATGGTCTCGATGATCGTTGTCCTGGGCGCCACGTGACCTCGTCTAACAGGCATCTCAGGATGATTCCCAGATATCTGGGTAGACGTAAACGTGTCGGCGTTTTTTTTTTTTCCTCGAAGAGAGACTAATCAGGCCTCTTGTATCGATAATTAATATCTATCGTTTATATATGTATATATATATATATATATATATATATATATACATTCACACACACATATATATATATATATATTTCTCTTTTCTGTGCAGTGATAGCAATAAACAACTTCCGTGAACACTATTGTAACACTAAAGAAAAACGGAAAAAAAAATAAAAAAAGAATTCAAAACACACCCGCGCAAAGCCTTGCATAGAAGAAGAAGAAGAAGAAGAAGAAGAAGAAGAAGAAGAAGAAGAAGAAGAAGAAGAAGGAGGAGGAAGAGGAGGAGGAGGAGGAGAAGAAGGAGAAAGAAAGGAATTTGATACTAAGAGGGGGATAAGAAGAGAAAAGGAAAAAGAAATCATAAAAAAAGGAACAACAAGAAGCAAGTACCGATCGAATCGATTAAAATCGAAGAACGTTGTTCATAGGCTCTTACGAATTTTTCTTCGTTTAGGTATCGTTGTACTAGTGAAATGAAGATGAAAAAGAAGAAACGAGAGGTGGGAGGGGAAAATGAGAGGAGAGGGAAAAAAGAGAAGAAGAAGAAGAAGAAGAAGAAGAAGAAAAAGAAGAAAAAGAGGCACCGAAAGAGTTGTAAGTTTCACTCGAGTCTGTCTTTCTCTCTCTCTCTCTCTCTCTCTTTCTTTCTTTCCTTTCGTCACTTTACAGCTCCTTGACTCTTTAGAGAACGTTCTCTTGGTCTTCAACACATGCTTGCACTATCTAAGAAGACTCGATCGCTCGACCCAACTTCGATCCGATTCGCTTCCGCTATTTCTGTTGTTTAGATATATCAAAGGTCGCACCACCTTGCTGCTGCCCGTCTTTTCTGTTGACTTATGATCCTTCGTCTGAGGCAAGGACACTCGGACAAGGTCGTGTTGGTCGCCGTGCGTGTATTTTCTTAGAAGTATTCTCTTTCTCTCTCTCTCTCTATCTCTCTCTCCCTCTCTTGCTCTCTCTATCTATCTATCTATCTATCTGTCTATCTATCTCTATCTCTCTCTCTCTATCTCTCTCTCTCTCTCTCTCTCTCTCTCTCTATCTATCTATCTCTCTCCTTCTTTCTTTAACTTTTAAGACTGATCCTCTAAGCGAGAAAACATCTATTTATAGTTGTATACTCTCTCTCTTTCTATCTCTCTCTCTCTCTCTCTCTCTCTCTCTCTCTCTCTCTCTCTCTCTATCTATCTATGTTCGTTCCGTTCTTACCGTAAATGATCCACTAATCTCGATTACTTATTATCCCTTTTTCATATATTATTACCAATAAAGATTAGATAAGAATTTTCTTTCTAATCGAGTCCACGGACGACATAACGAAATATTTAAATACATCGCCAAAATTCTCTTCATTATCGAACAAACGTTTAATAATTTTTCCATTTAATTCGTTCTATTCGTATCCGATAATTAATTAAATCAATCAATGGATTAACGTAAAAGTTGCCGTAAGAAAAAAGCCGTAAGGAAAATCCCGGGAACGTTTCGTCGTTAGGCACGGCAATTGATTATTTCCTTTTTTATAATACGTTGATATTCGTGGGAAATATATTCGATTGGTTTTCGATTTTGTCGGCTCGACCTCGTCGTCGTCAGTCTTTCGCCAATCCGAAGATGTTACACGCTGTTTTAATAGCCTCGAAGAAGGAACGCATGATTCCGGCATTTCCACGAGATTAACGAATCTTTTATATCGGCTAACTTTTATTTTTAAAACAGACCACGTACGCGTATTTTACGATTATTTTGTTCTTTTTTCTTCGATCCTTAACGATTACGGAACTGTTTATCTTTGTCGTTGATTGTTGCTGCTGCTGCTGCTGCTGCTGCTGCTGCTGCTGCTGCTGCTGCTGCTACTACTGCTGTTCTTGTTGTTCTTGTTGTTCTTGATGTTCTTGTGTATCGTCGTCGTTTTTTTCCTCTTTTTTTCGTTTTGTTCCTATGTGTCCGTTCTTTTTTCCCTTTATTATTATTATTATTATTATTATTATTATTCTTATTGTTATTATTATTATTATTATTATTATTATTATTATTATTAATATTATTTTCTTCTTCTTTTTCTTTTTCTCTTTTTCTTCTTCTTTCTTTTTTTTTTTTTTTTATCGATAACGCTCAAAGAGTCTTATTCCTTTTGTCATTTAATATTTAATGGTAAATCCGTAGAAGCGATCAAATGATATTCCTTGTAAGAAAAAGGGAGGGTAACGACTCGATGGTCCAGGTTAACGTCCACGATTACGACGAGAAAGGCACGTGGTGATTGGTTGGATGCGCGCGAGTCTCTTCTATACGTATATGTATATGCGTATATTCTAGCTTTTTTTCATTCTTCTTGTTGTTACTGTCATTGTATTTGTTATTGTTGTTCTTCTTCTTCTTCTTTTTGTCGTTGTTGTTTTTGTTGTTTTTGTTCTATGTATACCTCGCGATATAAAGTCAAGATCGATTGAGGAGTATAGAAACGCGACGATATCGCTACGACGAAGGAACTGTCCCGTTTCACGGGGTGAGCCGGTCAGCTGTGCATTTCTGCTCATCCTCTCTCAGGGACAGTTATTTTTATACTTCTTCTTCATCCTCTGTGGCAGTCGTGCTACGCCACGAATACGTCCGACCACCGGCGGCGATCCCACGTTTCACCGACTCTTCGTTGATTCTTATCGAAATCAACATCGGTTCGAAGTCCCGTCTGGGTTGATCGAAACACTTCCGACACAAACCTGCCAAACCCTTTCACTTGAATAACAGTGAACAAATTCGATGATTTTCCTTTTTTCTCATTCTCTCTCTCTCTCACTCTCTCTCTCTCTCTCTCTCTCACTCTCTCTCTCTGTCTCTGTCTTTTTTTTTTGTTATTCGTTTCAAATCATCGTCCACTCAGTCAGCACTTTAATTTTAACTTTATGGAAACACCTCTTTCTCTTTCTCTATCTATCTGTCTATCTCTCTTTCTCTCTCTCTCTCTCTCTCTCTCTCTCTCTCACTATCTCTCTCTGTCTCTCTCTCGTTCCTCCCCTCGAAAGCACGAAGCACCACACCTCGTCAACCCGGACAACTACTAAAAAGCAGCAAAATGTACAATCCTCTTTCTCTTTCTCTACCTCTCTCTCTCTCTCTCTCTCTCTCTCTCTCGCTCTCTCTCTTTCTCTCTCTCTATCTCTATCTCTCTCCCTTTTGCTTCTTCTGATTCCTTCTTCTTTTTCCCTTATCGTTATTCCTTCTATCTGTTTCGGGGTATTAAGATAAGAAACGACACTCCTCGGAACGAACGATGCTTCCACGGGAAAGGTCGTTGGACACTGTTGCGCTACCGCGTGCTCTCTCTTTCCCACTCCTCGGTCGACCTGAAAAACCGTCACTTCGCCAATGCCGAAGGAGTCGACGCAGGAGGAACTTTTGTTCTAGGGCACGCGCGTTTTCTTCTATCTTTATTTCTTTCTTTCTTTCTTTCTTTCTTTTTTTTTCTCTTTCCTTCCTTCCTTCCGTCCTACCTTCCTTCCTTCCTTCTTTTCTTTCTTTCTTTCTTTCTTTCTTTCTTTCTTTTTTTTACCCTGTTTCCCCAGGGTTACCCGTTAGACCAGTCCCCGCCGGCGCGTTCGGTCGGAACTGAAAATACGACGGGAGGAGGCGCGACAGGCCGACGTCTTTCTCGACGACGACGGCGGCGGCGACGATGACGACGACGACGACGACGACGACGACGGCGACGGCGACGGCGACGACGACGGCGACGACGACGACAACGACGACAACGGCGGCGGCGGCGGCGGCGGCGGCGGCGGCGGTGGTGGTGGTGGTGGTGGTGGTGGTGGTGGTGGTGGCGATGGCGGTGGCGACGGCGGCAACCCAGGCGACGGCACGTACAGGGTGTCGTACACGGCGCCTGCGTCCTCCTTTCCATCCCCCCACCAAAAGCACGTTCACCATCCGATTATATTGTCCCGTTACCTCCCTCCAACTTGCCACTGATAATATTGATAAGGCTTTCCTCTCCACTCCACTTCACTCCATACCACTCCACTCATCTCTTCTCGTCTCTTTTCTTCTCTTCTCTTCTCTTCTCTTCTCTTCTCTTCTCTTCTCTTCTTTTCTCTTCTCTTCTCTTCTCTTACCGTTCCTCTTCTTTACCACTTTGTCCTTTTCTTTCCTAGAGGGTGCTATTCCAAAAGACTAACGTATTACCTGTCTACGACATTATCTTCTTAATCATTTTCTAGAAATAAAACATATTTTTTTATTCGCGCTAACTCATTTAACTCCTCTAAAATATTTATAGAAATTAAGTTATCACTTTACTTTTTCCCAATTATTTTTCTCCATTCAAAAGTTTCTTTACCTTTATAATTCTAATCGCATTGATTTTTTTTCTTTTTTAGAATGAAAAGACGTTACGTAGTTGTGTTGTATTGTGATCAATTTAATACGGCTTTTAAAACTATTTGTAAGAATATGTTCGTTAAAAATTTCGTCAATCGATATTTTCGAAGTACGAGAATCGAACTGAAACGTATCACTTTATTACTTTCCTCCGTAGATGGCACTTCAATGATATTCCGTAATATACCACTTCGGTAATTAGTCATTACCGATCGTGAATCTTTAGTAAGAACGATCTTGTTTTTAGCGTCATCTTACAATCTTACCTGATGTTACATATAAAACGAGATATTTATTTATATTAACTTATTCGACGGTGTATTTCAAATTATCCACATGTTGTTACGCGTTCTTACCGACCGCGTACAGTCGGTTAAGATAGAAAATTTCTTGGATCGAGTGTAATGTAAAGAGAAAAATGAACTGATACATTATCCATACGATTACA